TGTGAGTGGCACTGGTGGCTCAAGGGCAAGTGTAAGTCTGCATGTCAGAGAACCTTGCAAACTCTCCCTTTACCTGTTGTTGCTTGGTCTTGAGGGTCTGTCCCCTGCAGAGTCCCAGAACAGCTCACAGCCCTCCCCTCCCCTCACCTCCCCTCTTCTCTGCGCCATGGCTTCCTATGTTCTGACAATATCTCTGGTATGTGGTAGCAGGTAGCTTCCCTGTGAGGCTCCAATGCCCACCTACTGGCCAGTCCAAGGCAGAACTTAATCTCCAGGGACCCTATCTTTACAGGTGAGGCAGGGTGGACCCCTGAACAGCCCAGGCATCAGTTGCAGCTTTGGCTCCCTTCCCAGGAAAGACCCAGCAGCTTAGCAAACTGCCCAGGTGGACTTAAACGTTAGCCACCTGCCAGCTTCCACATGGGACCTGCTCTAGCTGGTGCAGGTAATGCTGTGGCTCCCAGCATCCTCTGAAGTAGCAGAGCACAAATAGTGCCTCCATCCAGATGCTGAGCCTCTAATCTCAGGGAAGTCACCATAGCTTCCCTTTGACTTTGGGAAGGCATTCTGGTGCTCTTATGGTTTGGAAGATTGGGTCCACATGGAGCAGCCCTGATGAGGCTCAGAGTAGGAACAAATCTAGCTTAGTTCTAGGCAGGGCTTGAATCTGTGAGGCATCTGGACACCACTGCTTATGCATAACCATCCTGGAGGACCTTAATGTGTAGCCCAGGTGTCCCCTGGCCCCTATCTGTGGCGCAATTATCTTTAAGTGTGTTTACCTGATGCTCACTAAGTAAAGAATCTTCATCTCTCTGAGTCCCCAAGTGTTAAGGAACAAAGTTTATTTTAGTGACAAGTTCACAGAGGAGTTGAAGATGAAAGTTGCCTTGCATACCCCTCCGCAAACAACATAAAAACCCTCCCAAGTCCCTTCTCCATTGTGCAACCACCTAAGATTCTTTTTCCTCTCCTTACCCCACTTCTCTTGCAACAAAACACAGGACTCACTGGTTCCTCCCACCTCTCCCTGTAATGTCTTCTTCCCTCCCTGTGTACATTCAGCTCTCTCCATGCTCACACGGCCGACCATGAGGGGCCACACAGCTCAGGGCCCTTCCTCAAAGGGAATCCTCGTGAGGAGCAGTGAACAGCTATTGGTAACAAAAGTTACCTGTGTTTTGTGGATTTTTTGTCCTTGATGTTCTGGCAGTCTGGCAAGTTTGAAAACCACATCTGGAGAGGTGTTCCCTGAGCAGCCGTTGTGGATGTCCTGGGGTGTCTCTCCCTTTCTCTCTTTTCCCTTCTCTCCTCTTCCTTCCTCTCTTTGCTCCTCTCTCTGGCTGGCTATGAATTTCCAAACAGCTCCAAGCAGAGCAGGTTCACTAGACTTGCAGTCTCTGTCCTGTCACTGAGCATTGATGACAAAGGCTGCAGAGCCGGCTAGACAAAGTGGCTGCGCCTGTGTCCTGGATGGTCTCTCTGGGATGGTCGATTGTCTGTAGTGCTGTCAGCAGGACTGTGTGGGCCCTGCCATAGGGCCTCTGCTTGTGCTGTCTTTGCCCCTTCTCCCTGACCTCGGAGAGGCAGGTAGTGAAAGATGGTTCTGATGCTGTTTCCGTGTGTCTTTAGGTCATTCACGATGTCTCTGGGCCTTGGCTTCCTCTTGATACTAAGAAAGTTTGGACTCAACTAGTGGTTTTCAAATATGTTATCAGTGAGCCCCTTGTGTCAAACAGAATCCTACACAGACCCAATATGCAGGACTCAAAATGTGTGTGTGTATGTGAGAGGCTGGAGGGGAGGTCTACCAGGTAATGCACATGTGGGAAGGTGGACAGATTTAAATGTGGGGACATGAGATTGTTACCATGGAGAAATGCGAGACCAGCACTGCCCCATCCTCTGATTTTTAAAGGCATAAAGCTGATCTGCCTGATTTTTGTATGCTGACCATTTATTATAGTCTTCATTTTTAGATAATTGCAGATTGGCATGTAATTGAAAGAAATAATACAGAGAGATCCTATGTACCTTTTACCCCCAATGGTATTCTCTTGCAAAACTACAGCACTATCTCACAGACAAGGTGTTGACATCGATACTGTCAAATGCAGAATATTTCCATCATCCTGAGCATTTCTCCATGTTGCCCTTTTATAGCCGTACCCACCTCCCTACCACACACCCTCTCCCCAGCCTGTGGCAACCACTAATCTGTTATCTGTTCTCTGTTTCTATAATTTTGTCATTCCAAGAAAGTCGTATAAATAGAATCATAAAGCCTATGACC